ATAATATGCAAAACAGTTATATTGTATTATTATAACTTTAGTTCAAAATTTTTTCAGTTTTAACAATATATTTGAAACTTGAATGAAATTATGTGAAATAAAAAATTTTGTTAAAATACTTTAATTTTTTAACAAAAATAAAGTAAACTAAAATCTAAATTTATTTAAAATTGGTATTTTAATTTAAATAATATATAATTGCTATTCAGTATTAAATTTTCATTAATTTAATTTCTTCTTTTTTTTATCCTCAGAAATATTTAATTTGTATATAAAAAAACTAATTGAAAAAGCTTCTAAAGACTTTCGCAATCTATATTATATACACAGTGACCAAAAAGTAACCTGAAATTGTAAATAAAATGCAAAATATTTAGTTATTCATCAATATTTATTTTCAAAGTATCTTCAAAACACTTTTCACAAACATTTTTTGGCATCGCCTTCAGCTCATTCCGCAATATTTTATTAATATCATCGAATGACTTAAAACGGCAATTTCAGTTTGGAGAACAAGAAAAAATCACCCGGAACCAAATCTGGTGAATATGGTAGTTGATCGATGGCATTAATTGCGTTTTTGGCTTTAAATTCTGTTACCATTGTGGCTCGATAAAAAAGCATCAACTTTAGTTGAGCAAGAAAGCGTTTCATACCCAAAATCATTTAAACGAACTCTCGAAGCTCTCTTGCCATCTCTTTATCAATTGCCTAACGATTTCCAAACATTTTCACTGCTTTAATATTTTCATCAGTTGAAGAGGTCGAAGGTTGTCCAGAACGAGGCATATGCTCAACGATCTCTGGACCGTCATTGAAGCCCTTAGTCACCCTTAGGCTTGAATTTTTGATAAAACTGAATCGCCCTAAGCCTTTTCCAACATTCGCAACGATGCGGCACACGAAATTTGGTTAGAAATACAAAATTTGAGACAAATTCTTTGTTTCATATTTTTATTCATTGTAAAAATCGGAACGCACTACTAAGGTGTACTGACTTAAGCACCATCAAAGCTGAGGGAATTTAAATTACATTGTCCAGGTGCTTTTTGTCACAATGTATAAATGATCAGAATGACCAACAGAGTGGTAATCTCACAAACAGCAGTAATAGACTATTACCACGCCCAATAGTTACTACCCACATCTACCACGTACCTAATAATATAAGATATTCAAACTTCGCTTCGCTGTGTACTATATATTTTGTTCAATATAGAAAGTTAAGAAAGTTTAGTGAGCATATTGAAAATAATATATTTTTATGCTCAAAACATGTGTATTAGGTACTTCGTTTACGATAACCTCTCATAATGATTTCTGTTATTCTAGCAAACCTTATACCGACTATGTTGGTTGCTGTGCGTGTTATATTTTCATAAAATTACTTGAAAATGTATTCTCGCCTATACTTTACCAATAACAAATGTTAATGCAATCAACCTTAGATTTTTTATGCACCCAAGTTACTATGAACAATTTTAGAAAAGTGTTTGTTAAAAGTATCATTTGATATACTATGCTAAAGTTTTGGTTAGAAAAGTTTTTGTAAGAAAATGTTTAACAAAACGTAATCAATTAAATTATTCCTCAATATTTTCTTTGTAGCCTTCAAAGTAATCTAAAACAATATGAAATACTAACAAAAATATGTTAAAAATTAAAAACAAAAAACAAAATCAAAAAAAAAAATTATAAAATAATAACTTTTGAATAAAATTTAAAAAAATAAAGAAAATATAAATTTTGTGAATAAACAATTTTAAAAAATACTTATTAACATTTTTCGAATACAAAATTATTAAACAATTGAAAACTCAAGAATATAAATTTTCTGAAAAAATTAAAGTTATATAAGCAAATAAAAATATTCATGAAACATTTTTAACAAAAAAAT